TGTGCTTATTGTTATACGAAGAGATGTCTGATGACTCCATTCAAATGACTTCATTTATGTTTTTCAAATAATTATAGATATGTATATTATTTGTTCCAATTTTCAACCGTTCAAGTAAAAGCATTTTCCGAACATCTTGATTAGAAAATCGGAGCATCCCACAAAAACAAATTCGGGGTATTTTGTCGAACTCAAAATCTTTATCCACGGACATTTAATGATATTCACTGACAATTTGGAAATGAGTTGATTTATTTTTCCTGTTTCAGATTAAGGTACACTCCTCTGTACTGAAAACCTTCCAGAAAATTTTGAATGATCATCCACTGTTGGAAAGCGTGAAAACGAGAAATATAGTCGAACCTATTCATGTTTCATTCATTTCAGAGGGAACAAAAAAATTTGAACCAGAGAGTTTTTGAGCTTGGGAAACCAGCATTTTGCTGACAAAATTAAGATTTACGTTCTGGGCCTTTACCCGCTGTGAAAAAAAAAAGATTGATAGGATGCTGAACTTCGATGCAAGGGTACATTTGCCCAACGTCACTTCATACTTATCTTTGGAATAAGCACCAAATTAAAAATTTACAGTCCTGCTTTTCTATTTCCTGAGTTCCCACAATGATCCACTCAGGGAATTCAGACAGAGACTTGAAAAAAATCGGAGAGATTTTTTTTCTTTTACTTAGGGAGCTTTGTGATATCAAGTCTCAAGTATATTATGGATCATGTACTGGAGGGCACACCGTATCTTATCCTTCCATCAGCTATGGTGTCAAATTGGTGGGGAACATTTCATTCGTGTGAATGATATAGGATTACCCTGACAATCCTCTGGAATAATCCAAAAATTCCCAAACATCGAATTCAAAAAATCGTGAAGCCAGCAGAAATCGCTTACCATGTTTCACACAGCACAAACTCTAGTAAAAATTTCGGAAAATTTGCTCGATTCGTTGCTGGACAACGCATCTCTTCCATCAGACATAGTGCCAAAAATCGTCACCAGAAAAATTCTGTTTACGGGCAAGACGCAAAATTATTCAGAAAACCCTCTGAAATAATCTGAACTTTCCAGCTTTGGATTATTATTCCAGAGGTGGAAAATCGCACGACCAGCAAAAATTGCATTCATGTTTCATACAGCGCACAACCTATCTCTCTATTAAAAATTGCAATAAATTTGCTTGATGCTTAGTTCGACAACGAATCTTTGCTCATCAGACATCGCGTCAAAATTTATCGAAAGCGATATTTCATTTACGTGAAAAAGACAAAATTATTCAGACAACCCTCTTAAACGATTCAAACTTTTCCACTTTTTTCCTGAATCACTAGACCAACCAATGCAAACACTTAAAGAACACTCTTCAGCAACAATCGCAGCGTAAAATCTGCTCAAATCAATTATGCTCACCCGCAGTCGAGGGATACACAGAAGTCGCCGGGGTTTGCACAAACGACGGACAACACACCTTCGGCTCCATGTACTTGGCAATCCCGCAAACAATTCTGTCCAAGTCCTCCTGCATCCCAGGATCCCTGGTCACGAAAAACGCCAATTCGAAAAGCCGCGCGACTTCCTGACACCGTCTCAAAGGCACGCACGAAAACAGTCTCTGGCCCCGGAACAGGTTCGAATTCCTGCACCGGAACGCCCAAGATGGGTACTCAAACTCATCCGCAGGCTCGATCCCACTGTACTGCACTTGTTGGTTCCTATCATTAGCATTAGTCCGTGTTGTTGCCAATAACACCAACGATAAGATGATCCCGAAACCGTGTACAGTAGTACTAAGTGTCCCGATGAGTTTCGTCAGCTGCTGCAGTGTCATGGTGAACTGCGTGATGATGATGATGCTAAGGACAACTGAGATCCCTGCTGCACGGGATTGGAAAAATGCATTTCGCCGGCCCGGGTGGGCGAACCCGGGAGGGTGAATGTCGCAATGTATCGCGAGATATCTTGGAACGAGGGCTCTGATTACATTACAGTATAATTGCGGGAACAGCTATTAAAGTTTTTCGTGTGTCCGTCGAATTCAGTGAAGCATTTCGAGCTGTGCTGGACTGTAACGCTTGGCCCACCAATTGGAGGGGTATATGTACCAAGTTCTTTTTATTTTTTAACCGCGTTCTGTTTTTGATTGTCATGGCTGACCTCCAATATTATTCCGCAATCATGGTAGTGTCAGCCAATTGAAAAACTGAAGAAAGAAAGTTGAACTTGAAGCCGTTGAAGAAACTAACTGTAATGCATAAAAATTATAGCATTGGCTAGGGATTTTGAAAAAAGTAACACTCATCATTGCCAACCCCAAAACAGTTCTGCATTAAAAAAATTTTCATTTCAAGATCTTCCAAAATTTTTTAAATTCGCACCAAAAATTAGAAACTGAATGCTCTGAAACTCTACAACACAAAAAAATTTAATTTTCGAACTCTTCAACAAATTTTAGTCATGCTGTGAAATACGGGGGTAACTCTAGCCATAACTGGATAGTTTTTGCTTCTCATACAGTGTCTTAAAAAATTTTCGCAAAAATCTAGAAGAAGAAACGCTTGGACCATCGAAAGGGAAATTTAAATTTTTTCCCTTACATTTCCAAGGATGTCAGCATCTTCCTGGACACGCACGGGTGGGACGACCCATGCATTTCAAGAAAACATTTCAAAAAATGTAATTTACTGTACATTAAAACAGGTGGACTCTCTCTCTCTTTAAATCTTCATAAAAGGTTGGGAAGAAAATTTGGAAAAGTTTAAAGGCAAGAGGGCAAACTTATATTTACAGTATTAATATCTGAAAGGCATTCCATAATTGCGGAATCTCATGGGGACTATCATTTTCGAATTATGATCCGTCTGTCTGTTTGGGAGGTTAGAGATCAGTTGCAAATCTATCCACTGAGCAGTAGCATTCAGAATATGTACTCCCAGCAATGGGAGGAGTTCATTGATTATTCTCGGAAGTTGGTACATACCTTGGCAGTGAAGCGAATTCATATCCTCGTGCATTGGATGTGGTTGAATTTCATCAGGGCAACGCAGTACAGTACTGATATTTTATATCCACAGGTTTCCCCTGTTGATCCATTGAGGAGACTGTACTACTAGTGGGTTGTTGGCACATGGTCCCTCTGGTTTAGCACAGTGGCTTTTTTCTTTGGCATCAATAAAAGTCTTTGAGAACTGAACTTGGCACCCCAGATGAGCAGATTAGCAGGACAAGCATCGTTACTGCCATTGTCAGCCATCCTCATGGTCCCAAAACACACCAAAGCACCAATAAGGCTTCCTGGAAAGAAAAAATTCCACCTCGGGTCCAATAAGAATAAGTGATGAACATCGTCATACTTGAGCCCACAAAAATAGTCAAGAAAAAGATTCAGGTCAAAATTATCCAACTCATCTGGGCTCTGGTTGTGCAGAGTCATCCATGTCCTGAACATGTCTCCATTGTTGGCTGGGATTGTGTGCTCTACCATCAGCTGTCAAATATTACTGCTGGTTTGGTGGGCTTCCTTACTACGTGCAGACTTTTAAAAAAATTGTCTGTAGAACAAAATTTTCTTTTTTCTCGTAGGGTTCTCTACAGTCTACACCAAATTTTTGCATTGGTCCCTTGAATTTCATTGTAGAAAAAGTTCACCAGTACACATATGCCCATGCAGCAAAACCCCAAAAATTCCCCGCAATGAACCTTGAAAAGTCGCTTTCAGCATACCATCAAACATTTTCCAAACATGAAATAGAAACACCACAACTTATTCATAAAAACAACTGTTAATCCCAATTCCAACACGGGTAAAATAAAATGTGTCCATGAATCAACACAATTGGCCATCTCAACCAAAAGAATTTGTGAAAAGAATGAAACGAGAAAAAAAATTATTATCCTGACGGAAGGTATCACAAGTGCCCCTCCTCACCAAGCACAAAGAAATGAACAGCAACAACGATAGACAATTAATTGAACGCATTGCCCGAGTGCTGACAGACCATGAGTTTGCCAAAAAACTCCAAAAAAAAAAAACTCCATCGAGAAGGCGTACAGCTAGAGACGGCTGGAATGCCCGACACAGCCCACAATGAAAGCAGCGACTAGTTCACAAGGAAATGGAACGCATACAAAACGTCCCAGTTTTTGAATCAATGAAGCAACGAGTCTCGCTTCCGCTTAGCCTCCGTACTCTGTCTGTAGGCCCACACTTGTGCCCACAATGCACAATCCACACCAATTTGAATACAGCTGCACAACCAAAACTGCGCCGGTGCCTGACGCGCGAGGAAATACACCAACTTCACGATATCGCCTCCCGTCATCAGGAACACTGTCAGGGAACTAATGGACAAAGGAACAATACAAAAAAATAGTCAGTTCCCAGCTTTCCACCAGGTAGAATTAATTCATCGCCTTCGAGACTACGGGGCAGGCGTACAGAAGACGTACAGAAGACGAGCGTGTATATCTTCCGATATTTGAGGCGCAGAAAATGATCCGAGTACTGTATCTCAACAATTGGCTCACAAAAAATTACGGACGGAAATGCAAAATTTAGACTCGAATCAGAGGTCACTTACGGCAACCAATTTTTTCATAATTCATCGAACTAAAACGAATAAACGATCATCATGATACGAGAGATCTATCGGAAGTTCTCGGGGTAGGAATTGAAACGGCACATGATTGAGCTGAAAAACAAAATATTGTTCAGAAAAGACATTCCTTAAAGGAAAAAAAAAGGCCCTGTTTGACTTTTTGTTGTTGCAGAAGTGGCCCTCGCAGCTTTCTGCTGTACACTCAAAAGATGGGGCACCCCTCTCAGTTATTTATTTACTTCTTTTTTTTTGCGTAGCCAGCTTCTTCCTCAGAATACTTGATGGCATTAATTCCAATGGTTGCATCATGGTCTTCTAGGTAATTCCGCGATTTTCATCAACACCCTCGACAATCTCATTTCGCCAAGAGGCTGTCGATGGAATAGAGGACCAAAGAATCAATTGGTGGCGGCAACCATTGGATATAATCCCCATTCATTTTCAAGAATTTTGAAGAGATAGCTGGGGTAGAAAACTATTCGCGACATGGGCGCCTCGTCTTTTGCGTGAAGAGAAAAAAGCTGCAAGGGTGACCTTCGCAAAAATGAAAAAAAAAAAATTATTCCGAACAAGGCTGCTTTTTTTCTCTGGTGTCAAATAAAGTTTTTTTCTCAACAACAAGCGTTTTTCAGCTTAATTGTACGCCGTTTAAATTTCCATTCATAGGAAATTTGTCAGATCCCTTGTGAAATATGGAAATCATAATTTTCATGAGTAAATAGAAGTCATTTTTTAAACTTGAAACTTCTATCTAGTTTTGAACTGAGCTTTCAAACACGTTTCGCTACTAACCGCAGGAGATTAAAACAAAAAGGTCTCCGTACTGTCAAACGCCTCAGAGGAAAGCATAAAAACCCTGAATTCGTTCGACTTTGCATCAAATCACGCATAAATAAACGTCTGCAACAAAAACGAGAAGATGTGTTCGCAATTACCTCATCCCAAACGTGGACTTCTTCTTGTTGTTCCTCACAAACTGCGGCACAGCAAGCATAGCCTCGATGAAAAGGGAAAGGAAGCCGACGGCTTCCACAAACACCACCGACACACTCAGGTAGTACATGAGCAGTAGCGAAGCGAGCGACACAAGAGCCACGCATTCCAAATAGGACGTGAAGTCTGTCCAGTCCCAAAAGTAATTGAGGTCAAAGTCTGGAAGCACAAAAGATAAAATACGCCGCAACGCCGTTCAATGTATCACGAATTATTACACTCCGGTATAATTTTAAAAAATAAGCGACACAGTGACGTAGGATGGAAACAAATCTGACCCGTGAAACACCTGCTGACCGAAGTCTCCTGTTCCCCCGAGTCCAACTCTGACCCTGGACCAATGAACCAAAACCCGAACAAAGAAAAAAGGATAACCCATCACACAAATTCAAAATGTTACCCGTAAACGTCCTCAGCTTGTCCCGCACGATGTCTTGCTTGCTTCTGACTTCCACACACAAGTGCACAATGGCTAACATCATGAGCACCATCACGACACTCTGTAAAAGCAGCGGCACTTCGTACGGATGCCCGAACCTGCAGTTGAACGTGCGAGTGATGGATTGAGAACCCCATCAGACGAGGAGCAAGCCACTCACCAGAATGTAATCCTCAAGATCCCGGCTACGATCAACGCCAGACACACATATATGGAGAAACCATCGGCGTTTTTGGTTTTACGTATGGCGAAATATTGGGGCAAGAAGACGGTAGCTGCTCCGAAAATCATGAATAGCTGCAGGATGACCGTCATCATCGGTAAGACAGAAGCGTACACAGACATGATGGAATCTAATTCTTTACGCGACAGACTTATAAGCCCACTTGCGTCGGGAATCATCAGAGCAATATACACGTAAACCGCCCCCCTCGCCTCTCTGAAACATCCAATCATCACAAACAGCTATCAGGCAAGGCTAACCTCCGAAAAACTTCAAAAACACGGCGCAACAAGATCTGTTCGCAGTAAAAACACTTTTTCCACGTTTATAAGATGCCATCCATCTCTGTGCTGCACAAGACGCAAAGAAATACAAAAGAGTTGATCGATTAAAATCTGCGAACGGAGCACACAGAAAAAGCCCCCCACATCAGAAGACAGCGAAAATGAGAATCTCGATTATCATGGAGGGTTCGGACAACCGAAGAGAACGGCGACCAATCTCGAAGTTGACCAGGGATCAATGAATTCCTGGGAAAGTCCGTCCTCTGAGTTTATGGGCCTACTCCCGATTCAAAGTAAAGCCATCATAAGCAGCTTGCACGCGCAAAGTCTCACTGGACAGAGAACCTCCTCCCCTTCTTTAATCACACTGTCGCAAAGCAAGCAGAAAGCATTCCTCCAGCCAGCGTCCGATTGAAAAAAAGAAGGCTAGTTAGCACTTGGGTTGCTTCTTGAGTAAATGTATCACATGACTTCTGCCAGGGAAAACACTTGGATTGGAGGACGCAAGCATGTCAAGTATCCAACCTCATCACTGTAAATGCCAAGAAACACAGTTCTCTTGCCAAGTCGTCTACCTCAACAGTACTTTGATCTCTTCTTTTTCTGCACACTCCAGATAAGACGTCCCATCCGGCGCCAATCCAGTCTTGTCAGCGCCCTGAAAATGAACGTGCTTTAGCATCCCAAAATATAGAACACACAATTTCGGATCTCACTCACCCGGTCCAGCAAAGCTTTCACGCACTTAGTATGTCCTTCCCAAATCGCTGCTAATAATGCGGAAATCCCGTGCTTATCTTTTGCCTGAAAGAAACAGGGATTATCGTCATACATGAGTAAAATTACTTTCCAATCAACCCCAGTCTCACATTGATTGCTGCTCCACGGTCAATGAGATAAGCAATGATATCGTTTTGCCCGTAGTCTGCGGCATAGTGAAGGGGATATCTTCCGTCTAGTTCTTTATTCACTTCGGCACCCTGAAATAGTCGAGAATGCATTCAAGAATCACACGTAAACTCCTGCAGTAAAAACTCACTTTGATCTCAACCCAATCTTTCACCTGGTCCAAGTCTCCATTCTTCAAAGCCCATACAAAGTCACTCATCCTCACGAGAAGCTAACAAATATCTGCGCACATGGGGTTAAAAGAGAAGCTTTTCATGAATATATAAGCTATGGACGACACCGTCCGCGCTTTGTAGTTATCCTGAAAATTACGAATTTCAGCGAAAACGTGGACAGTACTACTTCTGAAAAAGGAAGTACAAGCATCAGGGCCTCAAAACTTTTTAGATTAACAGCGCCTCGGATCGGTGAGAAGCTACGCTCGGACACAATGGATCCTATTCTTATTCCTTGGAAGCTTAATTTCTGCGGAATTAAGGATTCGTTTCGGCAGAAGCAACGTCCCACGTCCCCTCAGAAATTTCCGCGCTTCAACTAGTATTAGAATAAGTCACTACGGAAACGCTTTAGCGGAAATGATCACAAAATAACTCCCACTCGATGATTCGACAGTGTCTTCAGCTGGACATCAATCGCATCACTTTTTTCCGCGGTAAATGTTACACAGTCATTCGAAAAGAATTCCCTTCACGAGTTAACAACCTTCCACGTAGGACAGCTCCAACACTTCGCCGTTCGTAACCTTGGTCTGAATTTAAGACGCTGCTTTCCTGGACGCTGATCTGAAAAAGATAACTACGTTTCCAGATTCCTGTGCATCATCAAACAGCGACCTCTATTGTTAATGCAGATAACGTTGTTTTTGCATTGTCCCAATGGAATTCGGGATAGAATACCTCCGCTACTTTTTCAAGTTTTTCCACATCCACGAACAACCGCGCACATGCTGTACTGTACTTGTAAATCCTAAGCCTATTGAAGTTCTCGTCTTTACAGATAAACACTCTGCACCTGACGGTACCTTGCTGAATTGCGGAAGGAATATCAACCCAATGTATATCTCATATTTTATCAGCAGTGGAACAATTCTTTTTCTTTCTAGCCGAATTAATCGCAAAGATCAGCAAGTTACACTTTTGCTCAGCCTGCTAACAACAACACAGGAACCATTGCAACGTCACGTGTGAAACAGTACTGGAATAATTTCCAGGAAGCGTCTGGCGAGGTGAAGGAGACAATTAATTTTATTCATTATCACACTGAAAAACAAAGTTTTTCGTTGCCTCCAATTTTTAGACAGGAAACATATATTTGAGGTACAGTATAAATGGTATAATGCTTATCAAGAAGATATGAATGCCTCAAATGCGGTCAAAAAGACGCGATCAGTGCCGTTAGTTAAAATTCCGGTTACGTTTCAGAAAGAAACTAGAAGTACTACACTCCGTAGCTCGATTTCGGCAAGGGAACTCTAGGTATTAACATGCTCGAAAATGCCCAAGAAATGGACCAGCAAATTGGATTGGAGGACGCGATATATACGAATATACGATATATGAAAACGGATAAAGTATATCAACCACATGATCCACAATTAGAACATTTTCCTGGTTCTTCCACCATAGAGAAGAGTTCATTGTGAATCTCCCAGAACACTTGCTTCATAGTTTTCATGAAAATGAACCAAACCCTTGTGAAACATAACACAGATTACATGACTATAAGCAAAAGAAACTTCAGAACAAAGACAATCTGAAAAGGAAGGCCAACTTTAATTTCACTTTTTGCAGAATCATTAGTGTTGAAAAATTGCATCATGGGATTCATGGCTAATGTAAGTTTTCTAACACAGTGTCACAACTGTTTTAATAGCTGTCAACACTGAGATTCCCAAAACCACCACCTAGTATATTTTGGTTGTCAACGCGCACATGTCTGGCTCCAATGCTGATTTAATAAGTTAACAATTCACTAAATACCATATAAAAAGTTAAAAACTTATCTCCCAAAATTAAATATTGATTTGGGATTTTGCTCATATAATGCAGAAAAAAAGATGTTGGTATGATCTTAGAATTTATCGAAGGTTGGTGAATCCAAGATGTCCACTGAATTTTGGAACAATACCAGAATTCCAGAAAAGGTGTTTTTTGGTACCTACGGTACTCCCTGAAGAATCAAAAGCCGCAGCGGAAAAAATGAAAATAATTTTCTTCAAATAATCAAGTTGTCACCCTTCTCCCCGATGAATCCCACCGCATGCACATTCCGACGATTCCTGCAAAAGAAAAAACAAAAATTCCGAAGAAAATTCAATTATGAAATCAGCATAAAACCGAAATGAAGGGATTGAAGATCGTAAATTTTGAAACAACTTTTTTTTGCGTCTCGAGAGATTTTATTTAAAAAACCACTCGCGATAAGTAACATCGCGCAAAATGACTGACGACTCGCGCTACGTACAAACATGCATTCTCAACAACATGCTTCAAAAATTCAAATATATCCTTTCAAAATATCGAAAATCACAGTACCACAGCATCACTGAACCCGTCATTCCTTTTGGCGGGATCTACGGTACAAAATTTCCATAGGCTTTTCCCTTCCATGAACTCCCAATAAAAAAAAAAAAAAGAAAAAAAACTACTCCGGGATTTAAAGGTAAATTCCATAAATATAACTTTACATGTTGGCGGGGCTGAACAATCGGCAATTGGTGCGAAAAAAAACGTTGAATAGACAATAAAATTATTTCTGTTGACGATCACTTCTCCGCCACTTTCCTGACCACGAATAATGAAATCATATTCACCCTCAATTCGAAACAGATTTTTTTTTAAGATTCTCCTGAAAGTTCTCTGAGTGCCTCTAAAACGTAATTATGGAAATCTTAAGGATAGAAAAAAAAAGTTCTCAAACCGATGCAGAAAGTCCCAAATAATTTCTACTGAATGACCGCTTCAAGAAAGAAACTACAACTTCAGGCAGAAATTCGTAGTTTACCCATCTTTATGTTCCACGCGATAGTCATCAATCCGACGTTACAAAAAAACCGTTTTCGATGAACCCGGTTGATGGAATTTTCATCAGCTACTTTCCTTTCGGGCAAGAAGACTTCCATCTGAACAATCGGGCCCGTGTCTATCAACAGTTTTCATCTCTTCGCGAAGTATCCTCGCAACAAACAGAACAGAAATAGATGAACAGATCAAAATTAGTATCTTTTTCATGCGAGTGAAGTACGACCTGATTTGAACACCCGGCAATTTGGCAAGAAACCTGGGAACTTTCAAACGATGGCCGGAATGAGATGAACTGCCTCAATATTCTTCGTATCTCTATCTGCGTTGGAAGAGAGGCTAAGTGTTTTTCGAAGTACGAAAATTATTCCAAGATGTATCCATGTGAACAGAGTTTCTCAGCGTAAAAAAAAAAATTAGAGAGCAACTGTACACTTCAACACAAGGAACGCGTTTCTTTCGTCAAACGAACACCTTTTGAAGTCTTCTCCAATAACACAGAAAGAAAACGCAAACAGACGAATGAAAAAATCCTCAGGAATCGTAACGAATTGAGAAATGAGCGCGTAATTGCATCGCCTAATACAATTTTTTTTATTCCTAACCTTCAATTTTTGGATGCAAACCGAAATGTCAATCAGATAGGAATCCAGAGATCCGCAAAAGCATGGGATGGAATAAAGAAGTTCCGAGATGAATTTCAGCCAAAAATAAAAACACAAAATTCGCGGTACAACTTTCGCGAACGTAAACTTTCATCAGCTGGTGTTGGGATACTCCTCCAGGTACTGCTTCAACGACGCAGGCAACACATTTGCAAGATCCGCTCTCCTCACAGCCGCCCGATTCACCGCCAAACGTGCCGCGTGTTTCAACGGCGCCACGCAATGCTTGAGCGGCGTTCGGAGCCTCACGTGATCGAAAGTGTCGCCGTTCTTGTCTAGCCACACGTGACACTTGAGCCGGTCCGAGTCACACACAGACACATAAAAGTCCACCAAATCGACGACGCATTTTTTCCGCGGCACTGTTCTCGCCATTTTCCGCACAGCGTCAAAACTGAATAAACCGTCGACATAGTGGATCCGAACTGACGTCGGGCCTCGTTTCGTTTGCACACTCAGGCTGAAAAGGAAACGGGGGTCTTGAGAGTCGCGGACGAGGAACGTGCCCTCGGGCTTGTTGGTCAATAGGTCGATGGCTTCTTGCCACGAAACACCTTCGTAGTAGAAGCCACTTTCTCGGAGGCGGTTTTGAGTAGCAGCGATGCAGTCCACGTCTTCCGGGCGACCGCCGCTCAGCGAGTCGGCAGAGGGAACGTCGTCCACGATCAGAGCGTGGAAAGGGTATCTATAACAAAACAATACACATTCACTTAAACATTTAGTTGAACCTCTTCAAGCCGAACTTCAAGGGAGCAGAAAAAAATCCGGGTTAGGGAAACAGGCATTTGTGTTGTGGGAACGAAAAAACTCATCACGGGAATTGTACTGGATGATATTCAAGGCCTTAAATTAATTCATAAGTTCACAGGATGCATAACTTGGATGCCTGGCTTAATTTGCCCATTAGTCTTTGAATTCTTTTCAGAACATAGCAAGGTACTTTTGGAATGCTGCTTTCCTTCCTGGGTGAATAAAATAAGAGCAAAAAGGCCTCCAGAAAATTCGACGAGTACCAATTCGACTTATTGCGGTTTTAAATCCCTTGTTTCTAAGGGATTTCAGACAGTGACTTATAAATCTCTAACCTGTATCGACGCTTCTCCTCGACCTCCATCCTCAGATCTAGGTGAATGTCCGCCGAAAAAGAGCAAACGCCGCCTCCGAGTGGCGTCGGTGGACACGAAGCACTGACATCCACCGTCGTGCTCACGACACCGCCACCGCAAGTCAGTCGCAAACTGCGCCGACGATGACAAGCGTCGCCCGGGGTGGCCAAGTGCCTTCGCGAAGGCGCCTCCTGGCCAGTCTCGAGACTCTGGGTACGCAACACGTTCGTCGCTCGCGGACACCGCGGCGGCACCGGTGGAGGCGCCGTCGTCGTCGAGGATTCATTGGAGTCAACTAGCCACAAAAAGTTTTCCTGCTTGACGGTCGCCGGGGAATTGGCGTACTCGGGAAACGTCATCGCTGGCGTTCGCATTTCTTCAAGCATCGCGCTTGAAGAAAATTTCTTTCCCAAGGTTTTTTTCCCCCCACAATTATTCCTC